CCCCTGCTCTGCGCATTATTTGGACGATGAATCGACAAGTTAAATTTAAGGTCGAAGTTCAAATTTGTACGAATTAAAAAAATTAAAATTTGTATGTCACAAAAACGCCAACGTTACGTCACACGATGGCTTAGAAAAACAAATTATGTTGAATGTCAAAATACAGATTTGTACCACTGAATACAAAATAAATACTATGTCCCCAAAACATAAGATATCAATGGGCAAAAATATTTAAAAAAAATCAGCCCTTTAATGTTTAAATAATATTATGCCTTTTTAACGTTACAAAGTATATTCCGATTTTTAAATAATGTTTAATTAAAAAATCAGCCCTTTACTTTTTGAAAAATATTATGATAAATACTAATTGAGCATTAATTAAATTATATTACTTTAATGCCTTATAGTGATCGATTGATTATTTTACTCAATTAATGAACTAAATATTTTCTTTCACACTGGTTAAAAAAAAATCACGTGAACGAAATCATCTTAAGAATTTTTAAATATTCTTATTGTAAGTATATTCACAAATTTTGTAGTTGACTTTATGACGTAAACAGGTCAACAGCACTGGTTAATATTTCTTGGTTAAAAATTTTCTTCTTTATAAAAATAATCTTATTAAAAATATATGTATTGATTATTCAAATAATGATTGATATTGTCCTAAATAATTAGTCTTATTTTGTATGCCTAAGGGGTTCATATTTCATAGTAACGAAATGACACAGCTTGCTCCAAAGACAATAACAAAATCCAAAGTGAAAGCTAGAAAAACTTCAGGTGGAATATATAATTGGAACTTTGTCCTTTTTTGTCTCTTTAATTTCTTGTGTGTCTTTTTCTTTCTTCTTTCCTTTTCCTTTTTAAAGAAATGGCGGTGACGAGTCCTCTGTGGAATGATCGATACTAATATTCAGACATACTATGAAATCTGTAATTAAGTTACATTGTTTTCAATGACAATGTGATTCCTAACAATATTCGAAAAAGTTCCCATATAACACACGCACACCCCCCCATACAGATGAGATGATCTTGTGAACTACATTTCTCAGTGTGAAATTTTCTGCCTGTTTCCTGTAAGTTTTCTCTCACATTCGCACATGAAATTTTGTGTGGCATCTTCTGCTATTTTCTCTTATTTTACTTTTCTTTAATTTCTAGGGAAAATTAGACTCTCAGTCCTTACCGTTATAATGAGTTTTGAATTAGGTCCCTATAGTTTTTTTTTTTAATTTAACACACTCCTTTTAAGTTTAGGCTGTTAGTGATGTTGATCCCCACTGTTAGAAGATGCCCAAAGGACGTTGACAGAGCAAACGATGTGAACTTTACCGAAACACCGCAATCTCCATAACCAGCCTCTGCATCGGATTACCATCAATGGCACCTACCTCCTTGGACTCATCAACTTCTGTATAACTAGTGCAACTCTTCAGTGGATGAACTAAGCGTGAGGCCCTATTTTCCACTTTGGTGTTACTGAGGTTTATGCTAGGCGAAATTGTATACGATGAGAGAGACGGAGTGAAATGAATTAGGAAATAGGAAGCACCAATACATAAAAGAGATCCAGTTTGGGCCTTGATCAAAGTACTGTTGATCATTAAATGTAGGTACAGTGGAAATTCAGATTTTTAGTTCGTTACATTGTGAGAAACTAACTTGTATTTATTAGTAGCATCTAATTGCATGGTTTATTATCAACTCAATAATGATGATGATGATTGATGGTAGGAGAAATATTGTATATGTAGCAACATGAATATGGTTATGTTTTTCAACGATTAAATCTCTGAGATAGTGAAGCCGAGTGGAATAATATAAGAAACATGATGCAAAATGATTCCCCCCCCCACTCAATATATATATATATATATATATATTAGAAAGGAGGCCTGAGTAATTAGCAAACAAGAAGGATATGTAATTTGGTTTTTTTTTTTTTACTCAAATTGGCATTAATAAAGCAATTGCTTGTAGATGGAGAAAAGGACAAAGTTAGAAGAATTTTACAGTCAACTCAGGCTTTTTTGCGCGCGCACACGCGCGTGTATATATATATGTTGGCGGTGTGATGATGAACTCAGATGTAAAGTTTTGTGAAGATTAATCGCTGAAGCAGACCAAAGGTCGAGTTGGTAAGTGCATTTGATTCTTATTTACCTTAATTAATGCAATATATATGGAGTCATATTGTTTTTTTGGGGTATATATAGTGATATTTGTGCGACTCATTTAATTTGTTCCAATTTTGGTTTGATGATTACAAAACAATAATATAGGGATTGAGTTCACCATATATAGCCACTAGCAAAAATGGAAATATTCGCTGCTCCTGGGGGTCGGTCGTATGCACCACAAGGTCAGGTCACTCATTCTTCAGCAGCGAATGGCCTATACAAATAATTAATTAATTTGATCATAATATGTGTTTAGTCTTATAGCTGAGTCATGTCAAGAGATTACAACTAGCAATTTAGAAAATCTTTCTTCTTCTTATTTATTTATTTTATTTTTTCAACGGAGGGAACATAATATTCTTTTATCAAGTTATTTTACAATATTCTGAATAAAGAAAGATTGCTCGCTTGTTTTATTAGTCAATTATATGTTTAGGGCTTGTTTGTTTAATCTCGCTTTTTAAAAAAACGTTTTTTGCCCAAAAGGATGCTTTTGAAAAATATTATGATCTGATTTTCAAATTATTTAAAAGAGTAATGGTTGCTTAGCTCAACCATTTTCCTTTGAGTTATGGTTCATAAGAAAGCACTATTTTAAATAGCAATAAAAACTTTTTGAAAAAAAATTTGAACAAACATATTCTAAACTTTTAAAAATAATTAAAATCTAAAAAAATTACTAATTATTTTAAGTAGTTTATGAAAATAATCAATTATAATAGTTGTCATAAAAATAAAGAAATACTTTAAAAATAAAAAAGTAATATATTAATTTTATGACTTTAACCAAATGCAAAATTATTTCTACATTTTGTAAAAATCAGTAGAATAAAATATTACTTTCCATAAAATTTCTAAATCAGACAAAAACCACCTTTTTTTGAAAAGAAAAAAGAACAAACCATCGCCTGTCTTCGGTTATACAACTAATAGATGGATCCCGTCGCATCACCCTAGAAACAGGGAAAGAGGACCAGGATACGTCTAACACACGAGCCGCCAATATCTCTCTGTGTTTCTTTTCCCCCTCACTAGACCCTCCATAAATATTGCAGTGATTCAAATTAATATAGAAGCAGATAAGATGGCACGGTCACTCGGCATAAGGCGAGATAGAGAATACTGGCTAAATCAAATACAGAGGGAAATATTTTATAGAGGAGTGAGTGATTTGTGAGAGATAAGGGAAGATATACAAGGACGAATTGAGGAACAAAGAAGCATGGCGACCGAGGATGAAGAAAGACACACAGAGGAGGTTGCAGTGGAGGATAGATTGTATAAAGCTATATGTGATAACAAACGGGAAATTGCACAAGCATTGTTAGAGGAAAAGCCAAATGCCTTAACCTCAAAAATTACTGCTTCAGGGAAAACACCACTTCATGTTGCTGCCTTGTTTGGTCATGCCAACATAATGGAAGAGAGAATTCCTAGAAACTGTTGATGATTCTGGCAGTTCGCCACTCTTCGTTGCCACCGTCATTGGAAGCATTGAAGTTGCCAAATGTCTAGTGGACAAGAATTCCTTCCTACCTACTTTGCATTCCGCACTACCTAACATCTGAACTTCCTGTTGCGTCGGCTTTTCTCAGTGGTCATCCTGAAATGGGACGTTATCTTTATTCTCAAACTCCATTGGAATACCTCCAACCCCGCCATCTTGGTCCTGCTCTTCTTTGTTGTTGTTTGCAAACAAAATGTTTCGGCACGTAATATCTATAATATAATAACTACCTATTAATAACTTTATATTGAATAAAAGGAATTTAGCTAAAAATAGTTAATACTTTTAAATTTTCTAAATTATCTCAATGAGAGCGGCTTGTTTAGTTTATCAAAACAAAAGGGTCTTACACTAATAGAAGGTTGTTATAATTATTGTTTCCGCATTCAGTATATATTATATATTATTTATTGTGTAAATATGATACCCAGATATTGCTCACCACTTGCTTACTCAATGCCAAGAATTGCTTTTTGCATCTGATTTCGGCGGTTGGCAGCCAATTCTTGGCATGGTGTCTATGACTTCTACAATTCCTAGCCCAACTGAACTTGTCTTCTGAAAACGATGGATCTATGACCGTTAGTATCTTTAAATATTTCCAATAACTTCATTTTCTTTCTTATCAGAGTATTATATTTACTCCTATTTTTTCATTGGTTTGTATTATATGCTCTCCTTTGTTAGATATAGATACAAATTCAAGCCCAAGTTTCCAAAGTGGTTCTTTACCCATCCAAAATGAAGGCGAAGACACAAGGGAAAGAAAACAGGGGAAACTAACAGGGCCAGGTAGTAAAATATGTCTCTTTTCCCTTCTTTGGATTCAACTTCATCTTTAACTAAAATTCTTATAGAAAAAGACATGAAACAAAAGCATTGTTTGAACCTTTTCCTTGATAAAAACTGAGCCTTCCTTTAATTTCTTCCTTTTTCTATTTTTTTCTTTTTAAGTTGCACCAGGGCATCGTTTGCTTCGATGGCTCATCTTCTTTGCTTATAACTTTATAGGTAGGCGTATCTTCTAACTAACATATCATGCTTCCAAAAATTACATACCATTCTAAAGTTTTTTATTATTAGATAGGCCCGTATATTGTATGCAGCATTATTTATGACACATAAATAGCATAACTTGTTATAAATTTTATATTTGATATTGAGGATTATTATTGAATTTATTGATATATTGACATATACTGATATATTGACATATACTGATATCGATTCTCATCACCTCAGTTAACCAAAAAAAAAAAAAAAGAGTACGTCTCATTGTAGGAATCAAGAAAATAAAAGAGATGAAGTTACAGCAAGCACAAGCAAATGAACATGTTGATCTAGTTTGTGGGAATGCAAACAAAAAAGATGAAGCGCAAACTATAGCAAATGCGTTATTTCGGGCAGTGAAAGAAGGGAATGTTGAGTTTGTGGTTAAAATATCAAAAGCAAATCCTGAAATCTTGCTCAGTGTGGACAACTCATATCGAAACATTTTCTACCTTGCCATTGAGCATCGGCAAGCTAGGGTTTTCAACCTTTTCCATGAGCTTCACTTCAAGGATGCCTTTGCTTGTAGCAAAGATATATTTGGAAATACTTTGCTGCGTGCGGCAGCTGCAAAGGCTCCTGACATCATTCTTAACCGCATCTATGGACCAGCGTTACAAATGCAAAGAGAGCTAAAATGGTTCAAGGTTAGTTTTGAAATTCTCATGACAGATAGCTTATTGGTCATATGAAATTCCACGCTAGTGCTTTTTAATATCGAATTGGTAATTAAATTAGTGAAATTATTGATGAGTTTAAGGTTCACTGAAAAAAAAAAAAACACATGCATTGATTTTCCTTTTTCTTTAATTTTTGTTGTTCTCTGAAACATTCAATTGATTATATAGATACTCTTTCAGTCCTGAATATAAGACCCATTTTGTAGTATAAATTATATTACAAGATATGTCCTATATTAAGGACCGGGGGAGTATATATGTGTATGGTGTCTGATTTTGCTTAGAATGTGAAATACAATGCCTTTGTTGGCATTTAAATATTAATTAGCACCACTTGGAATAAATGCAGGAGGTTGAGAGCATAACGCCTCCAAGCTTTAGGGTACTTCAAAACACTGAAGGCGTGACAGTTGAAGAATCGTTTAGAGAGCATCACAGAGAATTAATGAAGCAAGGAGAAGAATGGATAAAAGCAATAGCATCTTCTTATTCTCTTGTTGGCATCTTAATTGTCACTATCACATTTGCTGTAGTTTTTACTCTTCCGGGAGGAAACGATCAAAATTCTGGACTCCCATTATTCATAAAACAAACGAGTTTTGATGTTTTTATACTCTCAACCATAGTATCCCTCGTCGCTTCCTCAACTTCAGTTCTGATGTTTCTGGCCATCCTTACGTCTCCCTTTTCAGAAGAAGCATTCCTCAATTTCTTACCTTCAAAGTTGCTTTTCGGTGTTTCTACACTTCTTACCTCCATGGTGGCTATGATCATCACATTTCTCTCTGCCATTCATCTCACCCTGAAGCACTCAAATTATCATGGGGCTATCCTGCCCATTATTTTATTCACAAGTGTTCCCATCTCTTATTCCCTGTTGTCACTGATTCCTGTTGTTCGTAACACAGCCTTTTCTGCTTATGGGACTGTCTTTAATAGGAAAGTGGGACTATTGCTATGAAATGTATATGTAACGCGATCTTTAATAATAAAGGAAGCTGTGGCCGTTGCAGATATTATTATGACTTGAAATATTATTTATGCTTTTAGGACGGGTTCAAAGCTTCATTTATTAAATATTTGTCTAGAGAATTTCTTCTGATAAGGAGAAAATGGATGTAAAGAGACTTCATTTCAGCTTTTATTGGAAGCCCAAGATAACCCTGTAATGCCGTAACTGCAACAGTTCAACATTCGATATTTATGTCCCAAAACCTGCAGCTTCAATATAAGCCCGATAGGCTCAACAGATTGGAGTTAAGGACCAAGTTGAGACCCATTTGTTTGTGATTATTTCATTTGCCAGACTGCTTGGGAGGTATGCGTAACTGACGCCCCCCTCTGTGTTCTATTATTTGACCGCTTGACATGTCTATTGTAAGCATACCAACTACGCATGGTGTCCTTCCCATTATTATAATTGCATTGGTTCCAGTATCCGTCTTCGTGCTGTCACAATTCCCTCTTCTTCTTCATGCTGCGTTTCCAACTTATGGGAATATCTCTAGCAGGGAAGTAATGGAGATGTTGTAACTTAGTAGCTGGCGGATATATTTTTCTCCGATTGTGATGCGATTCCGATAATAAAAATGATACATCTTCCGGATATTTATAAATATTGAATATTGGAATCCCTGTATTTTCCTTTTCCAAATTTACCAGTAGGAGAATTAGGATTTTAAAACACTTTAATAAATTAATATTTTAGAATATATTCAAATTTAAATGACAATACCAGATGATTTTGGAATGAATGGGAAATATCAGATACAAACTGTGAAATATGACTTGAAATATTTTTGATGCTCTTAGAACGATTCAAAGCTTTATTCACTAAATATATGGTTAGAGAATTTCGTTTCAAAGTAGGCGGTGAGAATTTCTTTTTCTTTTGTTTTTTTTTTTTGCTAAAACATAAGTATCCTCCTATTAGAAGCAATCTTATTCAAGGCACTATTAGGCAACAAATGTGAGCAACTCTTCCGACGGGGATTCAAATTTTAGTTCATCACGTTATGAGGAATTAATTCTTTCTGTTGGATCCAATTTTCATTGGTGGTGAGAATTTCTTTTGATAAAGACGAAAATGGATGTACAGAACCTTCATTTCGTCCGCTTATGGGAAGTCCGACATAACCCTGTAAAGTCTGTAACAGTATCGGTTCAACTTTAATATTTGTGGCCTAAGCCAGATGGGCTGGAACAGAATGGAATGAAGGCCCATGTCGAGACCCATTTGTTGGTGATTATTTCATTTGCCAATTTCATTGGGAGGGTAGAGCTGCAAAGCGTAATTAGATGCGCGTCCAAAATGATCATGTCTATTATATAACAATAACATAAAATTCATCAACTAATTTCCTCTTGTTTTTTTTTTTTGTTCCATCCTTCGTTCAACAAAAGATTTGGCTTGAACATATTCTATTCGATACAAGTAGGAGAGAAACCCGACTTAGAATTTTTGAAAAATAGAAAAATCAGAACCAATCAACCCCTCTTGTGCCAAAAATCTTACCATTTTTGAAGTAATTAGAGGTACATTTATTTTTTCATTTCAATCTAAGAGTTTTTATGTTTTTCCATGCCCCTACAAGACCCCGAAAAATGAAGAAATTTCTTTTCTTAGAAGCACATAAGATTCGTCGCGCACCCAACATACCCGTGAAGAGTCAAACAGTTGGGTCACACAGCCTCCAAGACCTATTTTTCTCCAATTATTTAACCTCTGGGAAGCATATCTTAGAGGAAAGGCTATGACATAAGGAAGTTTAACCTTCTTGTTTTTATTCCACACCCCCAAAAAAAAAACTGATACAATAATCCTCTATAATGATGTACTACTGGGTAATAAATTTCAACAATCAACATTTAACAGCTATGAGATAAGATCTAAATTATCTGAACCCAATTTCAACAATCAACATTTAAAATTTTTAAAGAATAATTTTTTAAATAAATATTTTTAATATTTTTTATTTTAGACTCTATATTAAAACATTTTTTAAAAATAAAATAAAATAATATTTGTATGCTCATTTGGGGTGTTCAGATTATCTCTTTAAGAGTGATTTTATGGTGTAAGAAATAAGTATGTGAGTTGGAGAAAATTAACTTAAAAAAAAAAAAAAGAAAAATAGCAAAAAAATTTTAAAAATTGGAAAATTACATTCAGAGATCCGTTCACAAAAATTGTTATAACTTGCTTATTAATTATTATCAAAACCAATACTAATATTGTAATATGTCCCTATTTACAATTTTTCTATTTTTAATTTCCTTTTTTTCTGATTTTTCCTTTTAATGAATCGTTATCCAGTCAATATTCAGTCCCCTCTAATTACCTCCAAACATGATGCAAATAATGGTAGAAGCAGATAAACATATTCTAAATACATAGCAAGAAAAAAAAATGGGAACGGGAAATCTCTCTGAGAGCGGTGGGGGTGGAGGAATGCCGGAGGAAGGCGACTCAGCCACTCGACGCCGGAAAAAGTACAAGAAAGTGAACAACGAGGAAAAAGAAGGGACTGACGCAACCGAGAGTCACGAAAAGCTTGAATCGTTTAAAGATAAACTGATGGGAACGGAGAACGTGGCTGTGTCGAGCGACAGGAAAGGAAGTAGGGTCTTCGACGATGCATGGAACGAATATCTCGACAACATCAAGAGCTATTTCATAAACGCTAATGCCGACCAGGACCAGGGACAGGTTGCCGATGATGATGAAGACTGCCCGACGTTAAAGGTTCCCCGAGAAGACTATGAACGGTGGTGTGCACCGTGGAGAAAGTCACTCATTATCAAGCTCCTCGGTAAGAACCCACCTTTATGGCTAATGAAAACAAATCTTGCACGAATATGGAAAACAGAGCATCCCTTCACGACCCGAGACCTGGACAATGGGTTCTTCGTTGTCTCATTTGACGATGAGGATGACATGAATATGATATATCAGGAAGGACCCTGGATGATTGCCGATCACTACCTCGCTGTACAACGGTGGCGGCCAAATTTTGACCCTTGGGAAGCAGAGGTGCAGAAGAAAATCGCCGTGTGGATCCGTATACCTCTCCTCCCCTTGGAATTCTTCAATGTAGAAAGCCTGCGACTAATTGGAAAGCTGATCGGGAGAACTCTAAAGGTGGATATGATCACGCATACAAGTGAAAGAGGCCGCTTCGCACGAATCTGCATTGAGATAGACCTTAAGAAGAAACTAAAGTCAGCCATTAATGTCTTTGGCTGACGACGAGTTATCGCGTACGAAGGTCTCCACCTCGTCTGCTTCCACTGCGCGAAATATGGGCATCACAGGAGTGCATGTCCGGATAGGAGTACCACCCCTGAAGCAACAACAGATCATCCTGGGACTGAGAATGCAGCAATTGGTACAAAAACAGGGGCAGCGAACGTTGACCTAAACAAAGAGCCGAACGAGATGAACATACCACCTCCAGCAACCCAACACAATATCTCCGAAAGCGGCATCCCCAAACGCCCTCAGGACAACCAGAAATCCGGTGAGAATTCTGACAGATACAACCTGCCGGCGGCGGAAGGCCTTGGAGCTTGGAACTTGGTGCAACGGCCAAGAGGAAGAAGATTTAGAAAACCCGAGGAAATAGGGCCCGGAGTAAATGCTCAAGAGAATTTTAAGCATCATAATACGCTATCAGATCAGAACCATGATTCTCGTGAGGCTATTCGACAGGAGGACCGAAATACTAAAGATACCGCAAGAATCCAGCAAGAAAATCACGGCAAATCCAAAAAGATGGGAAAAGAGAATCAACGAAATATGAGATGGGTCCCGGTGGAGCATATAGATATATCCAAAAAGAGAGGCCTGGAAAAAGCAAAAGAAAAGATGCCACCTGGCATGCAGATAGCTACAAACACGTCACCGAGGCCACCAATTACCAGATCTGACTTCTGGCAGGCTAAAAATCCGTTTGAGGCATTAATGGACCTCAGTGAGAATGGACCTAACACTGACTATCCCAATCTGCCTAGCGTAGCCAACGGACGGGATTCACCGCAGAATGAAGTTCTAACGAACACGGCACACCACTCGAAGGTAGACGTAAACCAGCCTCCTGACATAGATATGTCCATGGCGCAGGTCAGAATGAACCAGAATTCGGATGGTCTCAGCGAGAAGAGGACACACAGTTTGAATGATATGGGGTCTATAAGCATGAACACCCCAAACTTGAGTGACCCATGAACTTGCTTTTCTGGAATTGCAGGGGCACAGGGTCCAAGGTACTCCCGGGACTCATAAGAGAACTTAAGAAAAAATATAAAATTGAGCTTTGTGCACTGTTCGAGACGAAATCAAGTGGTGATAAGGCAAAACAGATCAGCAAGAAACTGGGTTTCCAACACTGTGAAATTGTGGATGCTGCTGGTTTTCGAGGTGGAATTTGGATATCTTGGTCAAACAATAGCTGGTCTCTCTCGGTTCTTGAAGTGAACAGTCAATACATTCACACGGTGGTTGAAAACAATGGAGACAAGATTTTCATCACTGCCGTCTATGCTTCTCCAAACATCACGATTCGACGCTCTCTCTGGAATAAACTTCAAGCACTCAACCCAGGAAACAACTGGCCTTGGTTCATAGGAGGAGATTTTAATGCTACTCTGTTCTCCAACGAACGCCGATCAAATGCTATAAGAACTACTTCTGTTGACAGAGACTTTAGCAATTGGGTCGAAAGCTTACAGTTACTGGACATGGGTTGCTCAGGCCCTTTCTACACTTGGAGGGGAAAAGGGTGTGAAAGTAGAATTGACAGAGTTTTATCAAATTCCAAGGCAAAAGACGTGTATACTGATGCTGTCGTTAAAAACCTCCCTTGGTATAAATCAGATCATCGTCCCATCCTCCTTCAGCTAAGACCAGGTATACTCTCTAAAAACTTTGTCCATCGCCCTTTTCGCTTTAACGCTCCTTGG